GAAAATAGGTTAAGGATGCATGGATGAGTTGGGGGGTCAATTTACCCCTCCAAATTAAATAAACAAAACGATAAGTTAATTGATGCTACTAGCCAAAAGGACTAAAGTATGCCCATAAAATCTATCAAACGAATCAAAATTAACAGATATATATAAATAAAGGACAAGTAAAGATGCAAATAATGGGGAAATTAGAAGAGGGGCATAAAAATATAAGAATCAAATGGTCCATACTAGCAATATATAGATAATTTTCATTTAAACAAAAACTACAGCAAGCAGAAAGGGATGAAATTTCACAAGAAATAAGCTTGTTGATTACTAAAACAAATATCTAGACTGAAATTCTTGTAGAGAATGGCCAATATACGTATACCCACAGATATAGGTAAAGATAGTATTATAAATAATCTAAACTCGAAATAGGCCATAAGAACAGAGCAGGACAAATAATAAGGACAATTTTCCAAACCAGACATTCTAAATTTTGATTATACCACCACATCACCATCAAATAGCAGGCTATTATAATGAACTGGAGGATAAATAATGGGCTACTTGCTCTGATATCCCCTATTCAAAAAGAATTAAGCAAAATTGGTTGTACTACCTAGAAATTCTAACGAAGCTCTAAAGTTAGAAATGCAAAGTAGATAAATGGAGAAAAAGAAGTAAAAGCTCAAGAAGAAAACATTCGAACGCTTTCAAAATAATTTCAGAGTAGACAACGCAGAATGTCTATAAAGATGTTTTTAAAAAGTAATTAGGGACGTTAAGATGAAATTAATTTGCAAAAGCAGAGATAAACATAAGAGATGACAAAATAATGGCCAGGGCCCGACATGATTCGGATGTCTACCTGAGGCGGTGAATTGATCATGGGAGGCGATGAGGAGGGGCGCCTGGGGTCGGCAGAATGAGTCAGAGGAGGGCGGACGCAGGTCGGTGGATAGCCCACTTAGCAGGCCATCTTTGGCATCGAGCTGGCGAGCGATAGTCTGCTCTGTGGAGCGTCGATGCGCCACAATGCACTGCCAGGCCTCACGACTCACTGTTTGCCCAAACAATAAAACAGACACATGCACATGCAGGTATATAAGCACATAACACATAAAGAACGAGAGCCAACGCAAAGATATGAAGCCAAAAAGCGAGCATGATTTCGCAAGTACATACAGGATAAAAAACATTCATATATGCAAACTTAATCGAATAAAAAGATGTGCAAACAAGCGAAGGCAAACAGAATAAGTTGTAAAGTAACGAATGTTAACGGAATAAGCGATAGAAAATAAATAAGTGTAATTAAGATAAAAATTCTCGAAGAAGAATTATTGGAACAAGTATTTAGAATCATAGGATGGAATATAATTTTCATGGTTACATAAATAAGGTAGACCGTAACAAAAACAAATTGCGAAATAAAACAAGAAACAGAATAGAATAGGAAATAAAAAGAGAAATATGGATAAATTTGCAAGCGAATGAAATAAACACAGGGCGTTTGAGCAAGAGGCAATTAAATAACGAGATTACACAAATTGGTATGAAAAAGTTATGTTTAACAGGAAGTAAAAAAACAAACATATAAAGGAGAAATCAAACAAAACTGAGAGTAATCAGGACGAGGCAAAAAACATACCGGAATGAGAGGTAAATAAG